TGTGTCTGTGAATATCACAAGTAAGTACATAAGTATTGACATATGTGCACACACTCACATGGACATATATTTGCATTTAAAGAAAACAAATACTAGGATTAAACCTTAAAACTTGTAAAAATAACCCTTGTTTGCTATTTGGGCCATGAATTCAATCCATGTATGTCTGATTTTCAAAACAGACCATCACATTTGCACGTCAAAAACCAACATAGATGGTGGAATTTAGGAAAATAAATGAATAAAGGCATTTTTACCCTGTTTCCTCTTTATGGATTGCATGTGTATATAAAAAGGATGTTTTCAGCAGATTTTGTAAAAAGTTGCATTAGTCGTCGATTTATTGCTACTTGATCAGAAGTTGACTTTATTAAGCTTTAATGTAGACACATTCTTAGCTTTTTAAAAGGAATCCTGTTCATAAATTGTGACACAAAGAGCTTTGTGGAATATTTTTTAAAGCTTCATTTTTGTGTATAAAAAGAAGCATACCTATTATAACTAACAGTGAATGCACAAAAATTCTGCTAAATCATGAAAATATTCCTCTGCACTGAAGGGTGGAGTTTGGAGGCATTTGTCTACTGCTTAGGAAAAGCTGAAGATTTTGCATATAATCCCTTAAGAAAAAAAGGCCTCAACAATGGCATTTTATCCAGTTCTTTCTACCTTAAGAAGCCTTGGCTGGGTCCATTTTGATTATTGTGATCAAGAAAAAGAAGTACTCACTCTGATGTTGGTGAGATCTTAAGTATCATTAAATTTCAAACTCTGTCTCTATTGTTGGGGCTCAGCTGCTTCCATGGCAATCAGCCTTAGTTCACAAAAATGTATTATTTACCAAGTGGCTAATAGAAGGAAAGTAAAACATACTTCTTTAAAGTAAACATGACATTCGTAGAATTTGAGAACCAAAGGACACTTGGCTATCTTTTTTGTGTGTGTGTGTGACATTGGTTAAAAATGATTACAGTTTAGAATGCAAGAACCAAACATAGTCCTTCACAGATTTGGCTTCAGATTTGTTTGTGATGGGGGTAGAGTCCTCTAGTGAAATTAGAAATAATTGCCTATTAATACAGCAGTAGTATGGCAGAGGGCCCATTACTACTGTTGGGAGGATTGTTATGTTCTGAGTATTAACAGGAACTCAACCAAGCAGGTAATATGTCAGTTGAAAGAAAGGAATTGTCCACAGTGCAGTTTGCATCATGGTTGCAATGGGGTCTTTGCCTTTCAGATTTGTAGCATGCTATTTGTTCCTATTGAACATATTGTGACAGTTACAGTGAGATGCAAAGTATGCAGATGATGTATTACTACTGAAAGGATGTGATACCTCATACTGGGAGGGAAAGATTGGACCCTGGATCTCTTTGGTAATTTAATGAAATGCAGGCTTCTGTGTGTGTGTGTGTGTGTGTGTGTGTCTGTACGTACAACCACACATGTTTACATGTGAAGAAACACACAGGACAAATTTTAGAGGAAACAGATACACCCCCCACACACCACCACCACCAAAGTGAATCCATGGACCTCCACAGGGACTGTGGACATCAGGTTAAGACCTCTGTGCAAAATATTGCCAGTACATAATGGATGGGGTGTGGTGGTTAAATTTTGCTTTTGTATCTGAAACCCTATTACATAGATGGCTAATGCAGAGTGGAGGTAGAAATAACTCCTTGAATTATATATCACAAGGCTGGCATTGTGATGCAGTGGTTTAAACTGCCACCTGTGACACCAGCATCCCATATGAGTGCCAGTTCAAGTCCCAGTTGCTCAACTCCCAATCCAGTTCCCTACTAGTGTGCCTGAAAAAGCAGCAGGAGATGGCCCAAATACTTGGGCCCTTGCCACCTCTGTGAGAGCCCTGAATGAAGCTTCTGTCATTTGGGAGTGAACCAGTGGATCTCTCTTTCCTTCTGTCCCTCTCTCTCTGTAACTCTGCCTTTTAAATTAACAAATCTTTTTTTTAACAGTTACATATCTTTTCTTTTTTTAAGATTTCATTATTTATTTGAAATGTAGAGTAACAGATGGAGAGACAGAGAGAGGTCTTCCATCCACTGGTTCACTCCCCAAATGGTCCCAACGGCCAGAACCAGGCTGATCCGAAACCAGGAGCCAAGAACCTCCTCTGGGTCTCCCACATGGGTGCGGGGGCCCAAGCACTTGGTCCAACTTCCACTGCTTTCTCAGGCCATAGCAGAGAGCTGGATAGGAAGAGGAGCAGCCAGGACTTGAACTGGTGCCCACATGGGACACTGGGGCCACAGGTAGAAACTTTAGCCCACTATGCCATAGCGCCAACCCCAATTATACATTTTTGTAACCAAGATAACTTGCATGCCCATAGGGCTTATAATTTTGAAACCATATTTCCATCTATAGCCTCATACAGCAACAGCAGGTATTGTAGTATTATCTCTACACACTACAGGAGAATAAACAAATATGGGAGTTGAGTGCCTGCTCCTAGGCCAATGATCCCTATCCTTGTACTTCTGCTGCTTCACTGCTTTGACAAGGGCTTTATTTGATTCTGAATTAAATCCTTGTCAACCTTGACTTTTCTTTCTTAATCATCAAGCACTTGAAGTAGGTCCACAGTCTTGATATAACTCACTCTTGCTCTTTCCTACCATCTTTGAGTAGGTGACGTTGATTTTAGATGTTTTAGGATGGAATTTGGGGAATTTAAGTAGCCAAAGAAAATATGTCATTTTCACCCTAACTAAGAAATTTGCTGTTACCTAATGTCTATATCTTTCTTTATATGTTGTTTTCAGAATATCCCCCTAAATGAGCATGCAGCCCCTATGTGGTACCCAGTACAAAAGTGAAATGGAGGACAATGTCAATTTTCCAGCTGACTCAGATAAAGTAAAAAAGGAACATAAGGGGAAAAAATCAGAACGTCTACCTGACATATCTACATGATTGAGGCAACTCTGCCCCACATGAGGAGAGCTACAGTTGTTTCCCTGGAGTCACTACTAAGAACTCATATTTCCTTGCTTATTTCACCAACATATTACAGAGAAGTGCTGGTTTACAAAAGAAGTAAGAAGGCTCATCACAAATAACCACATCTGAGACAGGCATTTGGTATAATAGTTTAGACCCCACTTGGGATAGCACATCCCATATTGGAGTGCCTGGGCTCAAGCCTTGGCCTTGCTCTGATTCCAGCTTCCTGAAAGTGAACACCCTGGAAAGCAACAGGTGATGGCTCCAGTTAAGTCCTTTTCCTCCATATGGGAGATCTAAATTGAATTCTGGGATCCTAACTTCAGCCTGGCCCAGCCCTGGTCACTGGGGACATTTGGGGAGCAAACCAGCAGATGGGAGATTCCTCCTTTTTCTTTCTCTGCCTCTCAAAATAATAAAAATAATAAAAAACCCCACCATACATAATGTCTGTTCCATCCCCTTCACTTTGCAATGTGATCGTGCATGTATTTTCTCATCTGCTTTTTACAAGAGCTATAAGGGACTCTCCACTGAGGATGGTTACTCTCCTTTTACAGGGTATTCTCAGACTCTGATGAGTCAGATGCGGTTCAGTCTGTTGCCTTCACTGAGTTCAAGCCACCACGTTGAAAAATGAAAAATCCAAATTGCCTCTTTGCAAAAATAAAAAAGGGGGGCGGGGAGAATGGAGGGAGGATGAGGGAAGGAGAGAGGAAGGAGGAGGGAGGCAAGTATGGTTATCATACAACTGTACCTTTGTGCGGCCAGCACTGTGGCATAGTGGGCTAAGGCTCTGCCTGAGGCCCCAGCATCCCATATAGGTGCTGGTTCGTGTCCTGGCTGCTCCTCATCTGATCCAGCTCTCTGCTATGACCTGGGAAAGTAGTAGAAGATGGCCCAAGTGCCTAGGTCCTGCACCCCTGTGGGAGACCTGGAAGAAGCTCCTGGCTCCTGGCTTAGGATCAGGACGGCTCAGCTCAGCTCAACTCCATTCATTGCAGCCATTTGGGGAGTGAACCAGCAGATAGAAGACCTTTCTCTCTGCCTCTTCCTCTTTCTATCTATAACTCTACCTCTCAAATAAATAAATAAAATCTTTTACCTATGAAATATATGACATCTGTTCTTTTTATATTTACAAAATATTTTTAAATGAAAAACTTAACCAAGGATGTAAAAGGTAATTGAGCCTCTAACACATTTAGGATATTTTACTATCTACAAAATAATTTCACAATTATAATTTCACCATCTTCTATGGAATCTTTAAGCAGGAAGCTGGAGTGAAATTTTGCAGATGGGACAATTTGTCGCCAGCTAAATGCCCCAGGCAACTCAAAAGACTTGTGACTGTTTCAAGACCCTCAAGGCTCTTGACATTCTCCAAAGCTATCTTTCAGGTTTTCTGTCACATGAAATGCAGGTTTCTGTGTGTGTGTGTGTGTGTGTGTGTGTGTGTCTACGTACAACCACACATGTTTACATGTAAAGAAACACACAGTACAAATTTTAGAGGAAACAGATACATCCCCCCCTCAAAACCGAAGTGATCCGTGGACCTCCACAGGGACGGTGGATATCAGGTTAAGACCTCTGTGCAAAATATTGCCAGCACATAATGGATGGGGTGTGGTGGTTAAATTTTGCTTTTGTATCTGAAACCCTATTACATAGATGGCTAATGCAGAGTGGAGGTAGAAATAACTCCTTGAATTATATATCACAAGGCTGGCATGGTGATGCAGTGGTTTAAGCTGCCACCTGTGACACCAGCATCCCATATGAGTGCCAGTTCAAGTCCCAGCTGCTCAACTCCCAATCCAGTTCCCTACTAATGTGCCTGAAAAAGCAACAGGAGATGGCTGTTGATGATCTCAGGGAGAGATGCAACTGCCTGGACTAGTCTAGATCCTACTGTAAAAGCAACCTCTGCAGATGGGTCAAAAAGCACCCAAAGGCTACCCTTTGCTACCTTTTTATTTTTTAATTAAAAAAAATTTAACTTTTTTTTTTTGCAAAAATATAATTCTCATTGTCACCACTGCATTACATTTACTGTGATGGAAGCATGGCCTGTGTCTCAATTTAGACACAGTAACCTTTTTTGGACACCATGATCCACAGTGCCACTTCTCATCTAGAATGCTCATGTTTAAAGATTAGTTATTTCTTTGAAAGGTAAAGTAACCAAGAGAGGGAAAGACATTCAGAGGGAGAGAACTTACATCTATTGGTTTACTTCCCAAATGTCCACCACAGCTGAGGCTATGCCGGAGTAGGCTAGGCCAAAGCCAGAAGCTCCATCCGGGCTTCCCACACAGGGCAGAAACCCTGGCACACAAGCCATCAGCTGCTGCCTCCCAAATGCATCAGCAGAAAATAGACCAGAATGCACCCTGATGCAAACTGTTGAAATCTTTACTTAATATATGCTAAATTGATCTTCTGTATATAAAGATAATTGAAAATTAATCTTGATGTAAATGGAAGGGGAGAGGGAGTGGGAGAGGAGAGTGTTGCGGGTGGGAGGGAAGTTATGGGGGGGGAGCTATTGTAATCCATAAGCTGTACTTTGGAAATTTATGTTCATTAAATACAATAATAAAAAAAAAAAGAATGCACCCTGAGACGGGACGAGGGCGTCCTGAGTGATGGCTGGATCTATGCACCCCACTGCTTTACTTGAATACTAAAATCTCTGCCCTAGGAAAGGCTTCTGTCTTGTTAGCATAGCATACAATCTAAACCGGAGCATGTGTGCAACTGTGCCTCTCTGAATTTGTGCTCACCCTACATGTGATGACAAGAACTTCCCCTCTTACAAATTCATTTCCTTCTGATAGATACCCATTTCCCCTGCTTATGAAGTCATCAACTTGGAAATTTCCTGTGTACTCTTTATTTTCTGCGAATAAATTACTTTGTGTGATAGTGCCATCGGGCACAATTATTACAACCCATCAGGGAGTAGGCCCACAGTTTTGGATGGGTAACAGAGGCTGAGAGAGACTGCGAACTAAACTGGGCTTTACATGAGACCTCCCCATTGTGTTGGAGTCAGAGTCACAGCTCCATTTTATGGACATGATTGTTATGCTAGGGAAGGGCCAATGAAGTTGGTTCTTGTTTTATACCTATTTCTTCTGACCCTCCTATGTCCTTGTAGGCAGCACCTCAATTGACTTTCAGGATTCAGGTAACCAATTTTCTTGCTGTTTGCTTAAGAGCACTCATTTTGAAGTACATGAAACTGGCTTAGACCTTTAGACAGATCCCCAGGGGATGACTTATGTGTGCAGTGGTGAAAGTCGATTTAACAAAACCATTAATTTGAGTTTCTGGGAATAAACAGTAGCTGTCACCCGCCATCAGAAAATACACAGAGAGTGCTTTGTAATCCAAATTGCAAAGTGCCTGAGAATACAACTGAATCAAGGAAAATAACTTTGGTGGTTGTTCAAGTCTGTGTATTGTTTTAACTTTCTGGCCAGGATGGTTCATTTCAGTGTGGTTTTCAGAAAACTAGATATTGGGTTGTGCCTGCCACATTTCATCAGTCATGCCGCATTACGTGCATTAGGAGGCCCTATGAATTCTTTTGGTCTCAGATTTACTGCAAGATGAGGCAGAAATCCATTTATGAATCCAAGGAAAGAGACTGTTAAAGAGAGTCCCTCTTCGCCAGGGGAGACGGCACTTGCTTTTCTCTCGCCATTCTCTTGTGACAATCCTCTGACCAAACCCAGCCCCTCCCCCCAAATGAAACGCCTTACAACTCGAGTAAAGCTAAATTCAAATAGAGGGAAAATGTTTTCCAAAAATACAAGGCTGGATTTAAAATTGTCCTTATTTTTTGAAACAATTCACAGTAGGCAGCCTCACGATGATGGGCATAAAAAACAGCTTTGACATCAACGATCTAATGAGCGAACAAGCAGTGCTATTCTCAGATGCCTGGAGTCTGTGCTCCTGTATGGGCCATGTTCATTGACTTTCTGTTTTGGAATTATTAAAAGACATTTAATAGGGAATACTTCAAACACAGAAAAACAGAATGCCATGTCTGACACCATTATCCAAACAGATCTCACTAATGTGAAAATGTTAACATTTTCTTCAGATCCACCGTTTCTTAATGAATGCACACAGTTACACACACACATAAACACAGACGAGGGTGCTTCAAGGAGCCCATGGAAAATAGAATCAAAACATCTTTGTTGCAAAAAAAGTTTTGAAGTCCATGCAGGTTTTCCATAATATACATTTCCATGGACTTTTCTGAAGACCATTGTGTGTGTGTGTGTGTGTATGTCCACATATATAAATGCATAAATACACATAGGTGTGTAATTACATACATATGTAATTGACTAAACGTTTCACTTGCTGAAGTCATTTTCGTAATTTGTGAGACACAGACAGACATCTTCTATCTGCTGATTCATTGTCCAAGTGCCCACACAACAGCGAAGGTAGGGCCATGCTGAAACCGAGAGCCAGGAAGGCAATCCAGGTTTCCCACATGGGTGGTAGGGGCCCAAACTTGAGCCATCACTGCTGCTTCCCAGTATCTACGTTGGCAGGAAGCTGGAGTCAGGAGCCAGAGCCAGGAATTGAACCCATGTCCTCCACCATGGGCTGAAGGCATCTTAACACTAGGCTGATGCCCACTCCCACTAAAGTCATTACTAGCAGACATAGCATAATGGGGATGTGAGGATTTTTATGTATATTTGATATCCTAAACCCCAATACAGTATTCTGCTAATAATACTTCTCAGAAGAACATCTTGTCAAATTCTTGTTATATGTCTGAAAATATTTATTTTGGCTTTCTAATTGAATGAAAACTTAGGAAAATATAACATTTCAGATTGTCAGGAATTGTTTGCATAAATATATTTTTCCTTTTCAATTTGAGTCTATTGTTCTCCCTTCTGGTGTTCCTTGCTGATATTGGTCTGCTCTCTTGCCTGAGTTACATTTAGACCCAAGTGCTTGATGGTAGCCAAAATCTTAGCCACTGCCGTAGGCTCAACTTCACCTTATTTGGAGTTTTACGTTTGTCTCTCTCTTCTGCCAAATAGATATTAATCTTGTTTTTGTCTCTGACTATATCTTTTATTTTTCTACTTTTTTTCCTCTTCATTATTTATTGCTAGGTAATACTGCTCTAATGGAGGAAACAGGAGTACAAGTCAAAGTTTTAAATGAGTAGGGGTGAGTGTTGATGGTAGTTAAGACTCCAGAGTGATGTGAACATTCCATATTGGAATTCCTGAGCTTGAATCCCAACTGTGCTTCCAATTCCAGCTGCACCAGGGAGGCAGCAGGTGATGGTTCAAGCATTTGGATAACTGCCACCCATATGGGAGCCTGGATTGAGTTTTGGGACCCTGACTTCAGCCTGGTCCATTTAGTGAATAAACCAGCAAGGGACAGATCTTGTATTGTGTGTCTCTATCTCTTTGCCTTTCAAATAAATAAGAAATAAAGAAAAAATTAAAATTTTAAAATCGTAATCTTACTATGATTGAAAAATAATGATTAAAAGAGCAACATGTATTTTAAAAGAGGAGCAACTGAAGGACAGGAAGGGTGCATAGAAAAGAGAAGTTTACTGAAGCTGGAAAAAGAACAGACGCACAACAGCTAAACAGTGAAATAATGAACTGATAAGTTAACCCAAGACCTTATCTCAAAACACAGAGCCAAAGGACAAAAGGTAAAAATATTGATAATATGGATAAAAGAAAAGATACCAGAAATAAATCTAGAAATGGGCTATCTATGGACATTATGGAAAAAGAAATCATAAATGGGGAAGAAGTTTTCAAAAAGTGATAATAAAATGGATTGATAAAATTCCCTTAGATGAAGAAATTCTTGAGTCTAATTCAAAGGCACACACTAAATGCCAGATATGTGTTTAGAAGAGGAACACATGTAGAAGTCTACTAGTGTTATTTTTGAATTATTGGGGTAGGTAGAGAGAAACCTATACAACTTCAGAGTTGAGAAAGGAATGTGGTATCTATGAAAGAAAGAATCAGTCTGGCATTGGATGATTCCTATATAGCACAAAAACATGCACAGTACTAGATTACTCATTCCCCAATTCTGGAGAAAAATGTTTTTGATTTCAGCATTCTTGGGTGCTCTCACACCATTCTTCATGTGTAAGGAAAAAAGAAAAAGAAGATAACATAAACATGATTATAAATACAAAATCCAGGAAGCAACTTTTTGTTTCAGTTTTGTTAATTTTGGTAAAGTTTGTAATCATGGGTGTGTATAAATGCTGTTTAACTCTTGATAGAGAAATGCATACTTGTTTATATTTGTTCATGTCCAAATGGGAATCATCTGTTGTATAAAGCAGATACATTGAAACTAGCTTGAAAGTAGACACATAGAAAGAAGGTATTTGATAGCAAATATTTGATAGCCAAACTCAAGAATCCCAGCCAGCCCCTGAGGAACCAGACATTGGAAAGCAATGGAAACCAAAGCCCCGCCTCAGTTTCAGGAGCTACTCGGTCATGTTTCCCTCATCAGCCACCCTGTGTGTCATGGTTCTGTTTTTCTTGGTGGCCTCTCTCTGGGTGAGCTGTGTCGGTAGGCAGACAACTCAACAGTGCCCCAAGTTGCGTCTACAAATGGGACACAGAGTCTGTAGCAGAAAGTTAGTCTCTGGGCCTCTGAATTCAAGTTCTCAGGAAGAAGAGCGTGAGTGGTGGATAGTCAGCCAATAAAGAGCTGACCCTGGATTATATGGCCGATGCTGGATCAGTTAGCCAGAGCAGGTGGCATCATTTGGTATGGCATGGCTATGGGGGTCAATCTCTTGGGAGGGTATCAGAATAAAGGACATTCCCAGAGAAGTAGTAAGCTGACAGCAAAAACAAGAAACACGCCTAGGAAGGTGAAAACCTGCCTGGCAGCCACTTGTAGCATAAAAATTGGATAGCTTGGTACATTTTTCAAAAGCCATCCTCTTACCCTACTTAGGAGAAAGTTATTTTCAATGTCAAATTACAGTGTGTCTTGTAAGTATTTAGCCAGCTATGCTTTCTTGAGCTATGCAGAAAAACACTATTGTTCTTTGGCGGCAGCTCTTCAACTATCTGAAAACACCAATTTGAT